GTACCAGAGATTGAACTCGGGTCTTTGCGCTTGCAAGGCAGGCCACCGAACCACTGAGCTAAATCCCCGGCCCAAGATTATTATTATGTAGGGGGGTTTTAAAGAAGGATTGCAGCAATTTCTAGAAAAAAAGTCTGTTTATCACTCATGTGTAGGAAGAAAAGAGTCAAGATAACAGTTGCAATAAAAAAGCTGAGTAAACAGATGTGACCTCAAGAGGAACCAGGTGGGATGGGCGGGGCTGGAGGTTGGGCCGGGAGAAGGCACCTGTCCCTCCTCCCATCCCATCCCTGGGGCTCCCTGCTGCAGGCCCACTCTGCCCCCTGGTGGTGGGCATGGTGCAGCACAGCCTCTCAGGCTTCACCCACCATCTTGGCCCCTGGGTCCCTGCCTGGCAGGAGGTTTGCCTGCTTGGTTGCTGCTCTTAGAAGATGACTTTGGGGCCGGGCATGGTGGCGCACACCTGTAATCCCAGCACTCGGGAGGTTGAGGCAGGAGGATCGCTGTGAGTTCTAGACCAGCCTGGGCTACACAGTGAGTTCCAGGTCAGTCTCAACTATATAGTGAGACCCTGTCTCAACCCCTCCCCACAAAAAACAAAAACCAACAAGAAAAGAAGATAACTTCAAGCCTGAAATCCACCTGCAGCAAAGCTGCAGACCCAGGAATTGGACTGAGGCCCTGGGCCTTTGGGGTCTGGCACGGGGCTGGGGGCCAGGGTCTGTCTCTTGTTCCTGTGTGAGTGCCTGAGAGAGGCCCAGATGCTCCCGCGCTCCCCACCCCACTCCCTTGTGAGCCCCTCTCCAGCCCCTGTGTAGGACCTGCTTGCCTCAGCCAGGGGCGGCAGGGTTGAGAGGCGCACCCCAGAGGCCTGGCCCTCAGGACAGGGAGTATCACCCCAGCGCTCAGCCTGGGTCCCCAGGGAGGAAACAGCCCGGCCACAGGCCCCACGAGACCACGTCCTTGCGTTATCTGCTCACTCCACGGAACACTCCTGGGCGTGTTGCTCTCAGCCCCCACATTGGAAATTTTCCTCTGGGAAGGAGGCCAGGACAGAGGCAGGCACCTCCTGGATGCGGGGCGGGGGGGACGGCTGGACAGAGATCTGAGAACCTGGCCTCGACTGTGAACTTGGAGTCCTGCACACAACCCCAGGGTCAAAGGGGACAGACGCTGAGGGGGTCTCACACACCGGGAGGGTGGGAATGACAGAGAGAAACACGCCGACACTGTCAGAACATGCTGCTACATCCACATCTGGGAACAGGAGGTCATCACTAACCCTGCACATCCCTAGAAATGAAGGCACAGGCTCCACCAGCCTGGGAGGGCGGAGGGCGGCAGCCCAGCGGAAGCAGGGGAGCAGGTGCCCTGGAGCGAGACCCCAGGGCAGGGCAAGTGCTGGGGGAGACACTGAGCCCCATGCCAGGGTGTTTGCCTGCACTCTGACCTCTGGAAGGCGGGCAAGGGGATGAGAGTCCAGGTCACATCTGTGCAGAGAACCCCGAGGTCTGTCCTGGTGTCATTCCAGATACACAAACTGGTTTTGGTTTCACAATGCACAAGCACTTATGAGGATGCCCCAAGGGCATCACAGGGGCTGGGGATGAAAGGCTGGGAACCTGCAGAGCCCCTGGGACTGCTGCCCACTGGGACCGGGATGCACCTGCCTCACCAGCCCCAGGTCCTCTCTGGCCTTGGTCCACGCTGCTGCCCAGGAGGCCCCTGCCTGGTGCCCCAGCCTGGAGGTAGGGGAGGAAGCGGGCTGTGCTTCTGAGGTAGGGGCCAGGGACAGGCCGGCATGGCACGGAGGACATGAAGGTGGCTGGTCACTCGTGGGCCTCTCCCACCCCTGCTGATACTCTGCGTCTGGAGCTCCCTGGGCTGGGCCCAGCCTCTGGCCTCTGTCCTCAAGGAGAAGGTTGTCCTCTTTCACCAAGGTCAGGAGGTCAGGTTCCTCTGTCCTCAGGGAGAAGGTTGCTTGCTTTGAGGACTTTGCCCTCTGCCACCAGCTCTGGACCCTGGGGCTGCTGGCCCTGAAAGTGCAGGCCGGTCCCTGCCCATCACCCCCCAGGTCACTCAGCTTGGAGGCGCACGTGCTGTCTGGGTCATCCCAGCCCATCTTCTGGCACACACAGGAGACCCCTTGCCAGACCCTGCACGTGCTCCCCAGGGGCTCCCATGAGGGTGGGACCCTGGGCTGGGGCCAGGACGGAGCTGGAGTCAGCAGGCTGGCAGTGTGGTCAGTGCAGGGTCTGGAGCTGAGGGGCAGGAGCGGGGCCAACTCAGGAGCCAGGTGGCCACCTCCTCCAGTGGCCAGAGGGGCCGCAGCTCTGCCTTCACCACCATCTCTGCCCACATGGTCCTCCTAAGGGGATCCCAAGCCCTCAGAGCTGTTCTGCACGAGCAGGTCCCGGGTTTCTGTCTCGACTGCCCTCCGATGACCTCAGTATGTGCGTCAGAGCCACCCAGAGCTGTGTCCACAGAGCCCAGGACCCCAGTAGGGAGGGCACAGAGCAGGACAGGGGTAGCATAGGGCTGGGACTCTGCTGCCTCCTGCCTTTCCTGCCCACCACTGACTGTGCTGTGTGCCCTGCACCCAGTGATGCTGCCTTCCCTTCCCCACAGCTCAGCACTGGGCACAGGGAGGTTCCCGGGCACCCATGCCACTCACCTGCTCTGCCTGCCCCAGCCCAAGTCAGTCCCTGTGGCCCTGACCCCCGGGAGAAGGGGACCCTTTCCTGAGTCCCTGAGCCAGGACCAGCCCCGCCCCTCTCTCCCGGACAGCATCTCCCACCTCTGCCTGCTCACTGTAGGTGAGCAGCTAAGGATAGCTTCTAACAGAAACGCCTTCACAGGGCGCCTCCAAGCAAGGCTGGGCGCAGACAAGTCAAGTCCCAGAAACTCCTGCTCTTCCCAGAAGAGCTTCCTCCAGGGCTAGGACAACCCCGCAGCCCTGCCCTCCTCCAGCCCCGCCCCGCAGTCACAAGTTTTCAGCTGGGCTCACAGAGCTGGAGGCTGCAGAGGACTTGAAGGCTCTGCTGGGGGAGGAGCTGGTGAGTGGCTGGCAGGTCAGGGGGCGAGGACTCGAGGGACCGGGTACTCTGAAGGTTGGGGACTTTGAGGGGGGACGCGTGGGGTCCCTGGCTGTGGCACCTCCAGGACCCTCAACCCTGTCACCTCAGAGATGGCAGGAGCAGGGCAGGCCCAGGGTCACTAGCCAGGCATGGCATGGGGTGGGGCACAGGGCAGGTGGTCTGGCTGTGGTGGCAGAGGGAACCGCATCTCTCCTGGGGTCTTAGGCCGGGCTCTGGGAGGAGCAGAGGTGGTTGTGTGGAGTCCCCAGGATGGGGTGGAACTGTCCCTCACTCCAGGTGGGGCTGCTGTGTTCCTAGGCCCTCTTCACACTGTTCACACAGATCTGTGCACACTCACAGACCCAGTGCCACTCACAGGTGTGTGCCTTCAGGAGAGGCCTCCTCTTGGGGATTCCTCCTCTTACACCCACACTGCACACTCATATGCTCCTGTGCACTCAGCATATGCGCACTTGCACACACACACACACACACACACACACACACACACACACACAGTCCCTGACAGGCAATCTCTGGGAGTTCCCCTAACCCAGGCTCCTGCTCTGTCCTGTCATCCTCTGTGACTAAGAACTAGCTCCTGTCTTGACAGAGCCCTGGAACCCTGGAGGCAGGTGCTCCAGCCCTGAGCCCAGGGGAACAGGTACTAAGACTGCCGCGCCTGGCACAGGGGAGCACAGGGCAGCCAGGCAGATGGGACAGCTGGAGGCAGGGCAGAGGCACAAGGCATATGCTGTGTCCCCATGGGGCGGCTCAGCTGCCCTCCCGTGGTCACCTCAAGGCACACTCGAGCCCCCTGAACAGGAGCCCCCCAGGCTGGACCTCACAGGCTGCAGCTGTCTGCTGAGGGCTATCAGGTCCTGTCCTCCACAGCATAGTCCGAAGCAGGCCTGGTCAGCGTCGTTGAGCCTCACCTGAGAACAGGAAGCACGTAGCTTATCCGAGGCCCTGCAGTTGGCAGGACGGCAGTGCTGGCCCCCCTGTGCTGGTGACGGTGGGGGCCCCACCAAGCATACCTGTCCCTAGTGCGTCCATCCCCGAGGACCTGGGGTCCGCACTCCTGCCCTACCTGAATCTTCCTGTGTTCCTGGGGCTGGAGAAGCAGCGCAGTGTCGCAGGTGGGCTGCACTGGGGCATCCAGGTCAGCTGCTGTGGTTTGTCAACGCGAGGACTCGGGCTTTTGTGTCAGGCACCCTGTGGAGCCCACTGTGCAGCTCCCGCTGTCATGTGGCAGGAGGTCGGCTTCCGGCAGGGTGCTTGGAGCGTCTGGTCGTCTGGTCTGGTCGCTGTCTTTCTCCAGCCTTGCGAGTCTCCCTGCCCCCCACTGAGCTGCATGGCGCTTCACACTCCTCAAGCCTCCTCTCTGGCTTTTAGCTGGGGCACCTTACTGCTGTGGGCTTTTTCCTGCAGAAAAACAGCGAGAGAGAATGGCCAGAAAGTCAAACCAGAATGCAGGACACTCTTGTTTTAGAATTTCAGACAGTAAATCTGTTTTAAATATAAGTATGTCCCAGATATTGCAATGCACTGCAGGTGTTGGTCAGTTGGCTTTGCTTTTTCAGTACTGGGGCTGAACCTGGGGCCTTCACGCTGAGTATAGCAATTGAGAGTCTTGCTAAGTGGCTAAGTGGCTCAGGCTGGGGTTGAATTTGCAGTCTGCCTGCTTCAGCCTCCCAGAGTGCTCGACGGTGGTGTGTCACTTCGCCCAGCTTTGTGGTTCATGTGAAATTTCAGTGCATCTCGGAGTACTGGACACTGGGTATGTGTGGCCACTCGAGTGTCACTGGGAGAGTTTTCTCCTAGGAACCAGAGCAAATTCCAGGTACCAGTCCAGGTGCTGTGCAGAGTACCTGGGCTAAGGTCTGAAGCTTCCAGGTAGGAGGGGGTGTGGGGGCTGGGGTGAGGATGATGGGGTTCTAGCCACGCCCACATGGCCCGTTGCTTCCCGCAGGGGCCCTTGGCAGATGGCTCAGCTCATTTGAGGGGGGTTGGCCACTTGTGCGGGGGTGACTGTTGGATGATGAATGCCACACATTCGGGGTTGTGGGGAGGGGATGCCACCTGCTCCAGACGCCATCCAGCCCGGGCTTGTGCCGGCCCCCACTGCTGCTGGGCACTGCAGGGAATGCTCCAAGGGGCTGGTGAGGAAGTGGCCCAGAGGGGCAGTGAGGTGGCCCCACCTGACAGCCAGGCCACGTCACCACATTGGCTGGAGGAGCTCAGAGGTTCTCAGACCAGGAGTCTAGGTAGCTAGTGCTGCTACATGGAGGACACAGAACCCAGAGAGAGGGGACAGCGTCAGCTTCTCCCTCTTGCCGCCTCACCCCTTAAACAGGGCTGAGCTTGCTGGAAGCTAGAGTGGGGCCTGGGCACAAAGGGCCTTGGGCACAGCAAAGGCTTGCAGAGGAACAGAACCAGTGCAGGCCGCTCCTACACCCAGTACAGAGCCCGGACAGGCAGCCAGGCAGGAGCACTCTGGTGTGACTGACCGGCCTTCGGGGCTCCAGAGTCTGGCCACAGAGACGTGGATTCCACTGGAGAGCCGGCCAAGGGGCAGCTCTGTGCCAGGCAAGGTCTGTAGTCCAGGGGCAGTGAGGGCTGGCCCTGTCCCTAGACTTAAGTGGAGGACAGGCAGAGCACGCTGCTTCTGAGGATGGGCGGGTAGGCTTGCCGTACCGTGATATTCCCTGTGGCCTTTGGCTGAGTAGCCACAGAATATCCACGTGTGACTCATGGTCCAAGAGTAGAAAGTCCCAGGAATAAAAGCAAAATAGATTCAGGTGCAGCCTATTTCCTGGTGAGGGTGGGGCTCCTGCACCAGCTGGCAGACCAAGAGGACAGTCCTGGCTCTGCCCACCCCGACAGTATGGCCCGCTCCTGACAGGGGGTAAAGGAGGGACACAGCAGGGGTCTCAAGGACAAGGGAAGGAGGACTTTCAGTTCCAGACCTGAGAAGATGAGGAGAACTCGCCCACACAACTGCATTCATTACCGCAGGGCCGGGTGCCCAGCCCCGGCGGGGTCCCCAGTGAGAAGCCCCAGACATGCAGCCCCTTCAGTCAGTCCTGCAGGCCACTGAGGAGCAGGCTTCCCAAAAGAGGCCTGTGACCACGCTGTGATCCTCAGTTGTCACCTCAGGCCATGACGAAGGCCACGGCCCCAGCCCGAAGTGGAAGCCAAGGAAGGTGTGAGCTCGATGTCCCCTGTCTGGATTTGGGACAGGCCAGGACTCCCATGAAGGAGGCCCCAGCCAGGGCCTGAAGAGAGGTGGCCTTGGGATGCCTCTGGCTTCAGCAACAGGGAGATCCTGGAGCCCTAGGTGACACCCACGTCTGGCTCCAATCTTGGCCTCCGGGGGGAGCACGCTGTTGGGTGTCAGGACCAGCTTTCAACGGGGCACTCGGGTGCCCTCAGGGTCCCTGACACCTTCTGCTATGATTGTTTTGTGGCCATTGTGCCTTGAAGAAACATAATACTGGTGACAGTGACTACTGAGGCGATTTTTCCTAAGGTGTGGCCAAAATAGCAGGGGATAGGATTCGAGGGGGTTGGATGAGTCAGGGCCAAGGGGGTATGGTGTGGGGGACCACAAGGGGTTTTGGGGGCCAGGAGGAGGGAGCCAAGAGCAGCAGGTACCCACATTCTGCAGGCTGTGGAGCATGCTGGGGACGACTCAGGGCCCCAGGCTGAGCCACTCCCTGCAGCCTCTGACCCTGGGCTTTCCTTCCTCCAGGGTTACAGGACAGAGGCCCCAAGTGCCAACCAGCAGCCATGGGCACCAGCCCCTCAGCCCCACCCCGGCTCGTCTTCAGGGTGCTCGGGGCCTTCCTGCTCCTGGCCCCCTCCCTGCGTGCTCAGCATACAAGTAGGTCTCTGGGTGCCCCACTCTGCCGGGGGGAGCCTGGGGACCAGGTGGGGAGACGAAAAGCCAAGGAGAGGCCCAGAGCTGACCAGGGCCAGGAGGTGGCCAGGACCCCGCACACCCAGGCCCTCAAGGTGACAAGCAGGGCTGTGCCCTGGGTAGGGAAAGGGCAGGTCACGGGCCCCAAGCACAGCAGATGGCAGACGACCCCAGCAGTGTCTGGCGGTCACTGTCACACCCTGGCAGCGGGTGCCCAGGGCCACATCCAGTTCTGAGAGAAGGGGAACTGGGAGTTGGAGGCCTGGGCCTGGGCCAGGGAAAGGGCGGCTCCACAGGACTGAGGGCACCATCTCGGCCGCCGATCCAACCCTGCCCAGGAGCCTCTGCACCTACTGGGCCTTCACCAGCAGTGTGGCGGTCACTGTCACACCCTGGCAGCGGGTGCCCAGGGCCACATCCAGTTCTGAGAGAAGGGGAACCGGGAGTTGGAGGCCTGGGCCTGGGCCAGGGAAAGGGCGGCTCCACAGGATTGAGGGCACCATCTCGGGGGCCGATCCAACCCTGCCCAGGAGCCTCTGCACCTACTGGGCCTTCGAGGACAGAGGTTCAGGCTGCAGTGGACAGGGCCCCAGTGATTCCCCCGACACAGCTCTCACATAGGGGGTCCCTAAGCCACGCAGGGACACCCAGAGCCTCCAGTGTCCCGGTCACTGCCGCCCAAAGGGGACAGCAGGGATTCGGGCTCAGAGCCCCCAGGACACCTGCTGCGCATCTGACACCCCAACACCCTCCTGATGGGGCGCACGGGGAGTGGACAGCAGGGATGCCCCGCAGACCGGCTGACTTGCCCGAGGAGACAGGCTCAGGGGCTCACAGCCCGGGCCACCACCTCCCTGCATGCACTGATTCTGTCCCTTCCACCCCGAGCTGGGCGCTGCTTTGACCCCATCTGGCACACGGAGAGCTCACTGTGTCCTGTGAGGCCCCTTCCCCGCCCCCCCCCAGCGAGCAGAGCGGCCAGCCGGCCTCCACGGCCCTGGCCTCAAGGTGACTGTGCCCCACAGGGTGGGACAACCCCACCTGCACGGAGGGCGTGGTGTCCGTGCCCAGGGGCGGGAGAGCCGTGATGGCCTGCAACAGCTCCAACGCCTTCACCCACATCCACATCCTGCTGAGCGCCCACGGCGAGACCAGGCTCATCTTCACAGAGCAGACCCCGGGAAGCTTCTCCCGGCAAGGGTGGCAGCTCCAGGTTCGAGGGGGCCAGGCCCAGCTGGTCATCCAAGCTGCCCAGGATGCCCACGCAGGGCAGTACCGCTGGCATCTTCGGGGACTGCAGAGATACAACAGGGTCACTGTGCTGAACGTCTCAGGTGAGGACTGGGCGGCGGGGGGAGGCAGCAGTGGGGAGGAGGGGGCTGAAGTGTCCCAGGGGAGGCCGAGGGAGAGGGCGCCTCCTGCCTGGGCCCTGGCTTCCCTCCACCTGGGACAGCCTCAGAGTCCCCGGCCCTCCCCCCTCCCCCGTTCCCTTCCTCTGCCTGAGCCCCAGGTGGTGGTGGCTGCAATGTGGGCCCTGGGGGGACCCAAGGAAGCCCTCCTGCTGCCTGGAGCTGGGCGTGTGTCTTGGCCGGTCCCCACCCTGACAGGGGCGTCTCTCCCGCAGAGCCCCAAGACCAGGAGGAGGAGCCAGGTGCAGCGCTGTCCGAGTCTTCCTGGGGTGTTTCACCCCTGCTGCCAGGTACAGGCCCCAGGGGGGCTCCCCAGCCTTGGTGGTTCTGCCGCCACTGCCCGGAGCCCTTCCCACCTGGCGCCCCTCAGCCCTGCCTGCCAGGTCTCCCTGTTGTCGTTAGGGAGTGTGGGGCCATCAGGGCCAAGGGTGAGTGACTGGAGAGAAGACAGTTGCGGAGGAGGCTCACCCACCTTTCCACTCTAGAAGTGCCGCCTAGAATCCAGGAGCACCGGACCCCAGTGGGGATGGCGGCAGCTGTGGTCTTTGTCGTCCTGGGCATTGCTGGGATCTTTGTGCTCACCCAGTGCCGTCTCCGAAATTCCTGGAGGCCCCTCCAGGTAGGAGGACCTGTGCCTGCCTGAGGGCAGGTGAGCCACACCAACCCTGGAGGAGAGATGGATGCAGTACGGTCTCCTTGGGCTCCGATCTGACACTCTGCCCTGCCTGGGTCCCCAGGAGTCCCTCTGTCCCTGCCCTCGCTGTGTCCCCAGGACAGCTTGGAGGCTGGCGGGGCAGTGTGGACTTCTGCCTCCTCCCAAGGTTCCTGGGAATTTGCATCAGGAACGAAGCATGCTGTTTCTGAGCCTAGGGGGCCTCTGACTGGGGAACCCTGGGAAGTGGGTTCCACCCCTCTGGGCCTGGCTGGGTAAATGGAAGGTGCAGTGTACATCTGTGTGTGCCTGAGTGTGTGTGTGCAGGCCAAGTGTGCCAAGCCGTGAGGGCTTCCGTGTGTGAGCTGTGTGGCCTGTGTCTGGGTGTCTGCCCAGTGGAGTCGGAGCTCAGCCCCTGCCTCCCCCTGCAGATGAGATCAGAACTCTGAGCTACAGTGCAGCGGACGTGAGCCCACAGAGGAATGCTGAGGAAGGCAATGGTCAGAGTCTCCAGCTCACGTCTCTTCTGGGTCTCCTGCAGGTGTGTGCCCGGGTCCTCAGGGCTTCGTGATCCCCATAGGGTATTAAAGGTGATCTTGACCTCACCTTCAGGTGCATCCACACTCTTCACTATTTTGGGCAAGAAGCGAAAGATTGCAGGAGCCCCAGTCACAGGGAGACCCCAGAGGTTGTGCCCAGTGTGTATGTGGGCACCAGGTGGGAGCTGATGGGTGGGCCTGGCCTGTTCTGGCCAAACCCAGCACTGCACTTGGCAGTGTCCCGGGCCTCAGCCTCGTGGTGCTACAGTGAGTGAAGAATTCCCATTGAGACCAAGGTAGCCTGACTCTCCCCTTCTCCTGTGACTGTGGAGAGGGACACGGTTTGGCCCATGGCTGTCACACCCCTCCTCTTTGCTTCCCTTGGCTCCCCACGGTCCCCTGATGAGGAGCTGGGCCAGCCTCAGTGTCCTCCCACCCTGGAGTTACCTCACAGCCACTCTGACGGGAGGAGCAGCCTTCCCCACAGCCACTGCCTTTCTGAAGAAGGAAACCATCCTGGTGTGGCAGGGATCAGGGAAGGATCTGGGCCCACTGTCTCCATTCTGGACCTCCCCAGACCCCAATTACCCATGGCTAACACAGCGAACTCTCCTGCAGATTTCCTGGGTCAACCCTGCCATTTTGCAGAGCTCTGACAATGTTAACCAAACAGCTTAGAGTCTCCAGTGACTCCGGACACCCTGCACCTGCTCAAGGAGATGTCGGCGCTGCTTGAATTTAAACCAAGCAGTAGGAATGAGGTCCAGATTTAGGCTGATCACAGGCCCGCAGCTGCTATGTTACCGGCTTGCCCTTCACGCTCTTGGGTTGATCTTGAAGGGCTCACTCTGGGTACTGGCCACCCTGTTTTGATGCACAGGTCTTGTTCAAGTAAACCCTCTCTTTACTGGTCTTGAAAATCTGGCCATTACTTATTTCTGGGCTGGTGTTGTTGCTGAAGAAACTGGTAAAAGACATACAGAGCCACAAGAGTGGGTAAAACAGAGTTTACTTTGCTAGCAAAGGGTCCACCATACCAAATGACTGACCCTGGGCTGGGTTACAATCTGCCTTTTGTAGGAGTTTTACTATCCTGACCTCGTTTTAGGCAGTTTGATAAGATATTCCAGTTCTCAGTTCCCATCACAAATTATGATCACAAGACTGTTTAATTTTAACCCAAATGTAGCATTTTCTTTGTGGTTAGGATGTTTATCTTTAGGATTCACCCAATTAGCTATTCTAGCCCACAGGAGTGGGGGTCAGGGTTAGGAAAACAGGACTGGTGACATTCATCTTTTATAGTCATACAATTTACAGAAAGTTTAGGGTTTAGGATCTAACGGTACTTTGCTTGTAAGGTATGGTGATTGTTAGTTTGAGCATCTGGTCTTACCCTGGGGATGTGGCTAAGCACCTCCAGCATCTGTTAATCTTAAAACATTTTAAATTGGGGCTACATGACTTCAAGCTTTGTAGTTAATGATAAAACCTCTGGTATTGTTGTCCTAAGAAACAAGCAAAGCCAAGCAAATTACAGAAGCGAAACACAGCGGGTTATTCTGTATTTCCTTAACATTTGGTAGGTTTCGGACGATTTCCAGAAGTTCTCTTTATCAGTGTGGGCTCAGAAAAATCCTGTAAATCTCCTTGGGGTTCCTGTCCTAAGTTGTGTGGACAGAGTGGTGGGTTTAAAAGAAACAACTGTAAACATAATGGACTGTTCCACCAGGAGGGCCCCGGAGACCAGGGACTGGCAGAGCTGACCCACGGTTTCTGGCACAAGAACAGCACTCAGCTTTAATTTCAGGGCCAGTAGCAAAGCCGCACTTTGCTGATTTGGGATTTCTACCTGAGTTGAGTAAAGGAACTCTCAGCGGATGGGTGATGCCACCCCATTCTCAAGAGCCAGTTTCTGAGTGTGCACAGATGCGGAACAAGCTTCTTGTGGGTTTTTGTTTTGGCACTAAAACATATAGGATGGTTTGTTAATTGGTTTATTTGGTTAAAGGTTAATGTGATGGAGGTATTCAAAATACAGAATAGTACACGTCTAGAAAAAAAGTCAGTTTTTCATTCATGTGCAGAAGAAAACATTCAAGATATAATTGCAATAAAAAAGACAGGCGGGCCAGGGATTTAGCTCAGTGCAGGGATTTCGCTCAGTGATTCCACCACCTGCCTCACAAGTACATGGACCCATGTTCAATCCCTGGTACCCACCAAAAAAAAAAAAAAAAAAAAAAAAAAAAAAAAGACAAGCAGAGTAAACAGATATGACCTCAAGAGGAACCAGGAAGGGTGGGTGGGGCTGGAGGTTGGGGCCCCAGCAAAGCATCTGTCCCTCCTCCCACCTCATCCCTAGGGCTCCCTGCAGTAGGCCCGCTCTGCCCACTGGTGGTGGGCGTGGTGTAGCACAGCCTCTCAGGCCTCCCCTCCCATCTTGGCCCCTGGGTCCTTCCCTGGCTGGAGGTTTGCCTGCCTGGTGGGCCTGAGATCCACCTGCAGCAAAGCTGCAAGACCCAGGGATTGCATGGAGGCACCAGGTCTTTGGGGTCTGGCAGGAGGAAAGGTACCCAAGCTCCTGATCAGAGGCAGGGGGTGCAATTTGAGATGTTCCCACATGTGGAGCAAGGTGAGAGAGCAGAAGGAGCAGCTAGGAGCACAGGACTGGGGGCCTGGGGACCGGGGTCTGTCTCCTGTTCCTGTGTGAGTGACTGAGAGGCCCAGGATGCTCCCGCTCTTCCTACCCCGCTCCCACATGAGCCCCTTTGTTGGACATAAATTTCCTGATGCTGCAAACAGGACAAAAGAAACCAGGCCTTTGAAAATCCTTTGGCAATGCTTTTCTTCTGCAGAGGGTACGTGGCAGGCTGAACAAAGCCAGGCAGCACACTAAGGAGTCTGCTGGGTTTTTATTCCCTGATGCTCCATGCTGGGGGCCTAGCCTTACAGTCTAACCTGATTGGTGAATTCTTATGAGTTGCAGTTGCTGGGCAGAACAGATCCTGTGACTCACAAATCTCTATGTTACACGCAAAAATGTATGGCAAGTGGACTGGTGTTTGGCCTTTTGTCTTACGTTGCCTTTCTAAGAAATGGTGACACAAGTACATGTACATTTTACAGAAATAGGGTTTTAGAAAAGGAGAGTTGTATAAAATGGAGTTATCTGAAATATCCCTTTGGACAGAAAGACTGTCTTTCTCATACCTCCTTGTCCCCTGTCTGTGTCCCCTGTGAACTGTCCAAGCACACAGGCTTTCTCTCCTTCCTGACAGTAGGTGACAGGGCCTGCAGCTCTCCCCGTGGCAGCCATGGCCGATCTGGAGCCCAGAGGGTGCCATGCTGTGTGAACCCCGGGGCTGAGGTCCACACTCCAGGTGCACAGTGCTCAGCTCCCTCTCGACTCTGGCTCACAGGATCGGAGGGAGGCAAGGTCAGGCCAGGCTCAGACCCTGCGGGCAGACACAGGCTTGGGACGTACAGCTCGCACACCAACACTCACACATGCAGCCTATGCACTCACACAGACACACGCTAACGCACCCTCGGACCCTTCCCTTTCCCACCCAGGCCTGAGTTCAGGGGTGTTGAACCCACCTCCCAGGGCATAGTCAGTCAGACAAATGACAGGTTTTGTTCCTACTACAAATCCCAAGGAGTCCTGGGAAGAAACCAAAGTCCGTACCCGCCAAGATGACCCCCAGGCCCACCTCACCTGGGCATGAGGTGAGGGTTTGGGGACAGGGAGCCCTGAGGGCCTGTTTGCCATAGCCTCTGGGGCCCTGGGCGAAACTGCTGCCTGGGCTCTGCAACGCCTCCGCCACCTCACAGGCCCCCAGAGCAGTCTTGAGCCAGGGAATCCAGAAAGACCCGGGCTCTGGCCCCCACACTGCCTGTACCAAGTGCTGGGGCTTCTGCCTATACAAATCTCCGGACTTTGTTGAGAGGTGGTGGAAGCCCTAGCAGAGGACGCCCACCACCAGAACTGACAAGGCCACAGCGACCGGGATTCCCACCATGCGCGCCAGCCGGGCCTCAGGCACAGACTGCCTCTCCTTGGAGCCTGGAGGTGGATCAGGAAGGACGGGAGTGGGGCGCCCGTCCCCAGCACCAATCACCTTGCTTTGGTCAGGTTCACCTCAGTGTCTCCCCTCACTGGCTTTTCCGCACCACCCTTCTGTGTGGCGGTGTCCACCAGAGACCTGGCAGGCAGGGCTGAGGGGCGCCAGGTGGGAAGGGCTCCGGGCAGTGGCGGCAGAACCACCAAGGCTGGGGAGCCCCCCTGGGGCCTGTACCTGGCAGCAGGGGTGAAACACCCCAGGAAGACTCGGACAGCGCTGCACCTGGCTCCTCCTCCTGGTCTTGGGGCTCTGCGGGAGAGACGCCCCTGTCAGGGTGGGGACCGGCCAAGACACACGCCCAGCTCCAGGCAGCAGGAGGGCTTCCTTGGGTCCCCCCAGGGCCCACATTGCAGCCACCACCACCTGGGGCTCAGGCAGAGGAAGGGAACGGGGGAGGGGGGAGGGCCGGGGACTCTGAGGCTGTCCCAGGTGGAGGGAAGCCAGGGCCCAGGCAGGAGGCGCCCTCTCCCTCGGCCTCCCCTGGGACACTTCAGCCCCCTCCTCCCCACTGCTGCCTCCCCCCGCCGCCCAGTCCTCACCTGAGACGTTCAGCACAGTGACCCTGTTGTATCTCTGCAGTCCCCGAAGATGCCAGCGGTACTGCCCTGCGTGGGCATCCTGGGCAGCTTGGATGACCAGCTGGGCCTGGCCCCCTCGAACCTGGAGCTGCCACCCTTGCCGGGAGAAGCTTCCCGGGGTCTGCTCTGTGAAGATGAGCCTGGTCTCGCCGTGGGCGCTCAGCAGGATGTGGATGTGGGTGAAGGCGTTGGAGCTGTTGCAGGCCATCACGGCTCTCCCGCCCCTGGGCACGGACACCACGCCCTCCGTGCAGGTGGGGTTGTCCCACCCTGTGGGGCACAGTCACCTTGAGGCCAGGGCCGTGGAGGCCGGCTGGCCGCTCTGCTCGCTGGGGTGGGGCGGGGAAGGGGCCTCACAGGACACAGTGAGCTCTCCGTGTGCCAGATGGGGTCAAAGCAGCACCCAGCTCAGGGTGGAAGGGACAGAATCAGTACGTGCAGGGAGGTGGTGGCCCGGGCTGTGAGCCCCTGAGCCTGTCTCCTCGGGCAAGTCAGCCGGTCTGCGGGGCATCCCTGCTGTCCACTCCCCGTGCGCCCCATCAGGAGGGTGTTGGGGTGTCAGATGCGCAGCAGGTGTCCTGGGGGCTCTGAGCCCGAATCCCTGCTGTCCCCTTTGGGCGGCAGTGACCGGGACACTGGAGGCTCTGGGTGTCCCTGCGTGGCTTAGGGACCCCCTATGTGAGAGCTGTGTCGGGGGAATCACTGGGGCCCTGTCCACTGCAGCCTGAACCTCTGTCCTCGAAGGCCCAGTAGGTGCAGAGGCTCCTGGGCAGGGTTGGATCGGCGGCCGAGATGGTGCCCTCAATCCTGTGGAGCCGCCCTTTCCCTGGCCCAGGCCCAGGCCTCCAACTCCCGGTTCCCCTTCTCTCAGAACTGGATGTGGCCCTGGGCACCCGCTGCCAGGGTGTGACAGTGACCGCCAGACACTGCTGGGGTCGTCTGCCATCTGCCGTGCTTGGGGCCTGTGGCCTGCCCTTTCCCTACCCAGGGCACAGCCCTGCTTGTCACCTTGAGGGCCTGGGTGTGCGGGGTCCTGGCCACCTCCTGGCCCTGGTCAGCTCTGGGCCTCTCCTTGGCTTTTCGTCTCCCCACCTGGTCCCCAGGCTCCCCCCGGCAGAGTGGGGCACCCGGAGACCTACTTGTATGCTGAGCACGCAGGGAGGGGGCCAGGAGCAGGAAGGCCCTGAGCACCCTGAAGACGAGCCGGGGTGGGGCTGAGGGGCTGGTGCCCATGGCTGCTGGTTGGCACTTGGGGCCTCTGTCCTGTAACCCTGGAGGAAGGAAAGCCCAGGGTCAGAGGCTGCTGGGAGCGGCTCAGCCTGGGGCCCTGAGTTGTCCCCAGCAGTTGTGCCTAGGATGTCCACTTCTCTGCTGGACAGTGGCCCTCAGTGCCCAACCTTCCCTCTGTCCCTGTGCTCTGTGCAGTGTGATGCACCGGTCACCGGAAGCCTTGGGGAGGGAGCAGAGCCTCTGCCGTGCAGTTCCTGGCACTGAGCTGTGTGCACTGTGCTCTTCCCTGTGAGCTCTGTGCCAAATGAGCAGCGCTGAGCCTGAACTGCCCCTCCCCACGAGGTCCCGCCCGACACCGGCCCAGCTGGCCTCTTCAGCCATGGGCCCACTGGCTCAGGACCCCTCCTGGACCGCCGGTCACCAGGCCACTTAGTGGGCTCTCGGTGGAGCACCCCTCTAAGATCTGGAAAATGGGCTTTTACTTTCCCCAAAACAGCAACAAATGGACTCTCAGCTTGGATCCTGCCATGCTCAGGCACGATGGTGAGTGTGAAATTTTCTCTGATTAGACCAGGTGAAAGTTGTGCTTTTTAAAAATTCTAGTGAAAAGCCTTTTTCCCCCTCAGTTAAAAGTATTTGTCAGTCACTTGGCAATTTGTTGAGACTTGGATATTATTTTATGGATTTCATTTGCTTCCTGTGCTGGGATTCCATCATGTCCTCAGCTCCTCTATTATTTTTTTTTTAATCTATGTCTGCTGTAGAGTTATTAAGGGTGTTTTTCACTGTGGACACCATCTTTGTTGTTATCTGAGAAATTATTTGTGATTTTGTTTTTGCCAGACCCTCTTTCATTGCCGGTTCAAGGAGTCTGGGTGGTTGAGTATCAGATTGCTCCAACTTGTTGCTCGTTGGGGTTGCCGTAGGTGAGCTGGTAAGTCTGCTTTGGAGATTTGTTTAGGAGTCTTCTCATTTCAACAGATGCAGCCTGCTGTGCCTTCACTGAGGTGACCATTTGCTCTCCCATGGGCTTCGATTCTCACCAAGTCTCTGAGAGGCCTCTGCCTGCTGCTCACCACTGCTCCGGTACCTGAGGTCAGCGTGCCAGCCTCCCGGATCCTCCAGCTGGGCTGTTGTCTGGGTGGCCTCAGGCTGGGGCCTGTGCGCCCAAGCTGCTGCTCTCCAGGCGGCTTCTGGCTGTGCCCTGCGCGCACTTAGCGATGGTATCCGGGAGGGCCTCTGGCTGGATATTTTATAAATGAGGAAACAGCCGTTTTGCAGTTACAGAGATACTGACAGGAAAGTACACACGGCTCCCACAGATCTCTTGCCTGATCTGGACTGAGGTTTCCCTGTGGGGCACATTTTACAGGAGCTGGCCTTGTGGACGAGGGACCCATCTACAGGCTCGTCCTGTCCCCCAGAGCCTGCGGTCCCCAGGGCTCCGCTGGTATCGCGGCTTCTGTGGGCTGGGAGGCCCATAAGGCAGTGGGCGTGCTGCCCTGGGCACCCTCCGGTCTCCTCTCCCCCTGCCTCCCTGCCCTGACCACTCACTTTCTCCACAGCTGCCCTCTTGGAATGTCACATAACTGGGACCCTTTGGTCTCAGCTGATTCTTGTTGGGTTTTTTGTTCGTTTGTTTTTGTTTTTGTTTTGAGACAGGGTCTCTGTGTCTCCCAGGCTGGCCTCCAACTCACGGTGATCCTTTTGCCTCAGCCTCCTGAGTGGCGGCATTATAGGCGGCTCTGTGCCCAACTTGATTATCATTTTTATTTCAGTTTTATGGGCTTGGGTAGAGGGCTGGGGGAGCAGGCACCTTGCATTTCACAGACTTTCAAGAGCTTGAGGCCAAGAACCTCCATGGAGGGTCCTGGGCACTCTGTTGGGCACCCAAGCCTGCTGCTGCCCATCTTCCCCCTCCCACCCAGTGAGACAGGGAAACCCAACCCCTGCTGAGTCTTGTCTGGCTGAGACAGGCAGTCAGTTTAGACAGCAGAGGACAGGCAGGAGCCGGATGCTTAGGCTACTATGGCTGGTACGGCTTGTCTCTTGCTTGGTGAGACCGCTCCCTGTTTCTTCTTTATTGTTACATGGAGGGTAGCTTTTTCTGTCATACATAATGACACACGCTTCTTGTAACACAGCCAACGGTAGAGAAAAGTGGAGGAGGGAGATGCCAGGGGCAGGAGGAGCTGAGCCCACCTTGTGCTGGCACTTTGGGGCTGCCCCTCTTAGAGTTATATTTGTCAATCCTTTTCCCATTTTTCTTAGGAATTATCTGTCTCATCCCTACGTGAGACCTTTGTGTATTAGAGAAGCACATTGTTATAGGGGAGGCTAGTTTGTCCCCAGTCACTGCTCCCATTTTCTGGGACAGAAAGACTATAAATATGTCCTCATCTATCTTTTCCTTTAAAGCTTCAAAGTTCTTTTTTTTTTGGGGGGGGGGAGTGTGTTTTGGTTCTGGGAATTGAACTCATGACATTATGCTTGCCAGCCACATGCTGCGCCACTGAGCTAAATCCCCAGCCCTCAAAATTTTGTTTTAAAATTAGTTTGCTTAAAAAAATATCCTTAAAAAAAAAAAAAAAGAAAAGAAAAGAAAGAAAGAAAGAAAGAAAAGAAAAGAAAGCTCCAGGCCAGAGGTGCTGGCCCACACCTGTAATTCTAGCACTGGGGAGGCTGAGGCAGGAGCATCATGAGTTTGAGGTCACTGGGGCAACTCAGTGACTAATGGAGACCCTGACTCAAAAATAACAAAAACAAACAAAAGGCTCCCAGGTCCTGCAGAGTCTATGGTTGTAAAATGTTTGAATCTACAGTCATTTTGCAGATGAGCGACTGCGTCCCTGCTCCCTGGGGGAGAGCAGGCTGTACAAAGCTCTCTGTCCCCAGGGCGTGTCTCCCCCATGGGACCTGCTGGCCAGCATCTCCGGCCCTGCCAGTTTCAGTGGGTGGCTTTGTCACCTTCCTCACACCTGGCCAGCAGGTGGCCCTCTAGCTCGCCATCTTCCCTTAGACCCGATTTTCAGCCAGAACAGGAATGTCACTCTGGATGGTGCTTTCTTGGAACGGGAGTGTTGTGAGCTGCCTCATCTAGCCCGATAAGCCCTGAACCGTACACAGCGGCTGGGCAGCCTTGCTCCCTTTCTGTGCCCATCAGCCTGTTGGTAACTGCCAGGATCAGATAAACAGTTCAGCCTTGATCAGAGCTGCTGGGAAGCTTTTTGGTTCCAGAGGCCTGGCAGTTCCCACAGGCTGGGGCCTCGCCCCATTAGATAAGGTGTGCTCAACATCTTAACCCTGTGATCTTCGGGCAGAATATTTCCTCTAAACTGGACAGTTCTGCCAGGACTCACGAATGTCCGTAGTCAGCCCTGCTGACCATGGCCAGGGATCAGTCCCCTACCCAGGCTCCCAGCTGCCCTGTGGTCTGTCTCTGTGCCAGGGAAGAGTGGGCCCTGCCTGGGGCACTCTCCTGCCCAATAGCAGACTTGAAGAGCTGCACCTCGGGGAGGAGGATGCCAAGCCCATTGCCTTCCTCTGCGCCATTAGGGCCTGGAGTCCGGCACAGATCCCGCAGGAAGCCCTGTCCCAGACCCCTGAGACCTCAGTCCTCTCCCACCCTTCAGTCACAGGCTCAGGCCTGGACCTTGGCAGTGGGGAGAGGGGACTGAACGGGCTGTGGGCTCCTGCAGACCCCGAGGCAGGACAAAGCTGCAGGGTGTGCCCCAAAAGCTCAGGCTTAGCCATGTGGTCTCCTCTGGAGTCTAGGTGGGACCCCTTTGCAGGGCCCTACATGTGCACCCCAGGGGCTCCTGTGAGGGTGGCCATCTGACTCTGGGCTGGGGCCAGGACGGAGCTGGAGTCAGCAGGCTGGCAGTGTGGCCAGCTGAGTCTGTCAGCAGAGGCAGTGAGTGCAGGACCCGCCAGCCCCTCCTGGTGGGAGGCAGGTGGTGGCCGGTGCAGGGTCTGGAGCTGAGGGGCAGGAGCGGGGCCAACTCAGGAGCCAGGTGGCCACCTCCTCCAGTGGCCAGAGGGGCTGCAGCTCTGCCTTCACCACCATCTCTGCCCACATGGCCCTCCTAAGGGGATCCCAAGCCCTCAGAGCTGTTCCGCATGAGCAGGTCCTGGGTTTCTGTCTCGACTGCCCCCCGATGACCTCAGTATGTGCGTCAGAGCCACCCAGAGCTGTGTCCACAGAGCCCAGGACAAGAATGCCTCTTGCGAGAGCACACACCTGTGAGTGGCACTGGGTCTGTGAGTGTGCACAGATCTGTGTGAACAGTGTGAAGAGGGCCTAGGAACACAGCAGCCCCACTGGAGTAGGGGACAGTTCCACCCCATCCTGGGAACTCCACACAGCCACCTCTGGTCCTCCCAGAGCCTGGCCTGAGGCCCCGGGAGAGATGCAGTTCCCTCTGCCACCACAGCCAGACCACCTGTCCTGTCCCCCACCCCATGCCATGCCTGGCTAGTGACCCTGGGCCTGCCCTGCTCCTGCCATCTCTGAGGTGACAGGGCTGAGTTCAAGGCCAGCCTGAACATAGTGGCCAGCCTCTGCATAGTGAGACCTACCTCAAACAAAACAAAACAAAACATTTAATTCACTCCTAAATAATCAACAGGTTATGGAAGAAATTAAACAATTTCTAGAATCGAATGATAATGCCAGTACAACATTCTAGAACCCATGGAACACAATGAAAGCCATCTGAAGAGGGAAGCTTATTGCTGTGAATGTTTAGATTAGGATAACATAATGAGCCCAATTAATAACCTAACGATCCATCTTGAGAGTCTAGAAAAATAAGAACAGTTTAAATTCAAATTTAGTACAAGGAAAAGCTGGGCATTATGGCACCATCTATAATCCCAGTACTTGGGAGGCTGAGCCAGGAGGATTGCTGCAAGCTTGAGGCCAGCCTGGGCTACATAGTAAGTTCAAGGCCAGCCTGAACTACAAAGTGAGACTGTGTATCAATTAACAGAAAAGAAAAAGAAAAAGAAAAAACTTAGTACAAGGAAAGAAATGATAAAAATCAGAGCAGAAATTAATAAAACTGGACTGAAAAAGCTATACAAAATATCAGTGAATCAACGAATTGGCTCTTCAGAAGAATAAACAAAATAGGTAAGCCTTTAGCCAAGTTTACCAAAAGAAGAAAAGACCCGCAGCAATGCAATAAGAAATGAAAAAGGCAAAATCACAGCAGACATCATTAAAATCCAGAAGATTATTAGTAACTACCATGAAAACACGTACTCCAACAAACTGAAGAATCTAGAAGAAATGGAGAGACACCTAGACATATGGATACCAAAACTGAGCCAAGAAGATATAAGCACCCTGAACACTCCAGTAACAGAAAGTGAAATTGAGACAACATTAAGAAAAATACTAAGAGGGCTGGGGTTTAGCTCAACGGCACTGTGCCTGCCTCACAAGCACAAGGTCCTGAGTTTGATCCCTATACAAACAAACAAACTAAGAAAAGCCAAAGACCCAGTGGATCCACTGCTGAATTCTACAAGAACTTCAGGGAAGTTCTAATGCCAATGCTTCTCAAACTCTTTAATGAAATTGAAAGAGATGAAGAACTTCCAAACCCTTTTCTGGAAACCGGCATTACTTTGATTCCCAAACCAGACAAGGACCCAAGTAAAAAAAAAGAAAACTACAGGCCAATCCCCTTAATGACCATAGATGTAAAAATTCTCAATGAGCTACTAGGCAAACAGAATGCAACAAATCTCAAAAAGATCATAATCATGACCCAGTAGGCTTCATCCCAAGGATGCAAGGATGCTTCAACATATGCAAATCAATAACTAACTCATCACATAAACAGGAGAGAAATCTCATGGTTATCATTATCGATGCATAGAAAGCCTTTGACAAAATCCAACATCTATTCATGATAAAACTTCAAAGAAAATAAGTATAGAAGGACTTACCTCAATCTGATAAAAGCCACTTATGAAAAACCTACTGCTAATATCATATTAAATGGAGAAAAGCTAAAAGCTTTTCCTCTAAAATTAGGAATAAGATAAGAATGTCCACTATCACCGTTCCTGTTCAATACAGTACTCAAAACATTAGCCAGAGCAATCGGGCAAGAGAAAGAATTAAAAGGAATACATATAGCAAAGGAAGAGTTCATACTATTGTTACTCTGAGATGATACTTTACATCTATGGAAGATGCAAAACAATTCCATCAAAAGACTCCTAGAACTAATAGTCAAATTCAGCAATGTAGGATACAAAATCAACACAGAAAGATCAGTAACATTCCTGTACACCAATAGTGAACTCATGGAGAAATAAATGAGGATAACAATACCACCTCCAATAGCCTCAAGAAAATTTAAATACTAGGAATTAACCTAGTGAAGAAAGTGAAAGACCTCTATAAAACTGACATACTTCCAAAGTGATATGTAGATTTAATGCAAGCCTGACCAAAATACTAAGAGGGTTCCTCACAGAACTAGAAAAAAAGCAATCCTGATTTATAGGGAACCAGAAGAGACCCAGAATGGCAAAAGTAATCCCAGGTAACAAGAACAAAGCAGGAGACATGACAATCCCAGATTTCAAGTTATACTACAAAGCTATAGTGATAAAAACAATATGGTACTGGCACAAAAACAGACATGTAGATCAATGGAATGGAATAAAAGTTGAAAAAATAACTCCAGGCACATTAAATCCTCTGATCTTGGATAAAGGGCCCAAAAAGCGTATAGGAAAGACAGCTTCTTTAACAAATGGTGCTTGGAAAACTGGTTACAGACATGCACAAGATTGAATTTAGACTTGAATCTATTATCAAGTACCAAAATAAAGTCAAAATGGATCCAAGACCTAAATATTAAAACAGCAACACTCAATCTGCAGGACTTCCCGGAGGCCACCGCTCTGCTCATGGAAGGATGTCCTGCCCCGGCCCCTTCAGGTACTGAGCACAAACACCCACCCAGGCCAACATGGGGGGCTGGCCCTGTGACCAGGACCCTGCCCCTTGCTGGCCACATGTGGTTCTCTGTGCAGCTGTGTTCCCAAGGTGAGTGTAGTGTCTCCCTCCAGGGAGTCTGCCTGGTCACGAGAGCCAGCCCAGCTCAAACCCCACACATGCTGACAGACCTGCCCCTACCCGCACCCCACCCGTGGCCTACACACCCAGCACCACGTCCTCAGGCAGAACAGCAACCACATTCCCAACTCCTGACTTACAGCGCAAAGGCTATGGACATCCGTTGGCGCAGCCCTGGTTCCAAGAAGGGCCAGGCAGCTTCCACGTAGGCCTACAAGATGGTCCTCAGGAAGCAGAGGCCCAGACTGACTCAGCTCTTCTGGGAAGAGACCCCTGAGCCCTGGCTCACGCAGGACCTATGAGGAAATGCTGGGCTGTGAGCGACATTTCCTGGAAAGAAAGAACAGGAATTTAGCCCACACATCCTCCCAACGCCACTGCTCACCTCGCTCCTCTCCCAAACATCTCTGCTGTCCAGGGGTGACAGGGGTCCCAAGGCTGGGCTTCTACAAGGCCAATCCAGGGCCCAGCCCCAGCCCCTTTGGGAGGGGACAAGAGTCCTGTGGTCCCCACTCACCTCAGTGTCTGGACCCATGAACAGGGCCAGGACGGGCAAGACCGATGGTGGGGTCCTCTGCTCACATCCAACCTGATGACCCCACAGTCCTTCAGCTTCCAGCTCCGGCCACACACCCTGAATCCCATGGAACATGAAAGGGAGGCATCTATGCCCTTTGCAAACCTCTTGGAAAACCCAACAGCAAACAAAAGTAAATCCAGGACTAGTCAGGCACAGGGATGGAGGGACACACTGCACTCTGAAAGTGAGTCCAGAGATGAGCTCTGTGAGATCTGGATTCTTCTAGGAAAGCACTTGGTCATCTGGGGCTGAGGAGCGAGTCCCCCCGCGGGCCAGGTGTCCCAGAGCTGGATATCTGGAGCCCAGCGTTTCCCCGGAAGCGAGGGACCGTGTGTGCGCACCAGGCTGCACCCGTCCTCAGAAGGGGCTGGGGCAGCTGGCCGTGCAGGGGAGTGCGCTGGGAGCCTCTGTGGAAGGAGGCCTGGTCTGTGCAGAGAGACTCTGACTTCTTGGGTCCCAAGCCAGGGGCAGAGGAGGGTGGAGAGCAGAGGTCTTGGGAGATCCTAAGGGACTGGCTGGCTGTTGGTTCTCTGTTGAGTCTCAGCTCTTTTCAGGAGCCCATCTGAGGATGGGGCCCTGTTTTCTCCTTTGCAGGTCGGGGAAGATTTGAGGTGTGTGACGCCGGAGCAACCGCACAGCCTGAAGCAGCCACCAGGGGGAGCATTGACAGATATTAAATTGTGGCAGTCAGACAGGGCCACCCTGCTTTCTCCAGCCGGTCCCTGAGACCCTGAGACACAAGACGCCTGCCTCAGGCTCTGGGTCCCACAGTCTTCCCTGACCAAAGGGTCTGTGGGGGTCCTTCCTGTCTCTCTGGGCCGCATTTCCCCAGACTGTGGATCTCCGCACCGGAGTCCTGTACCCAAGGCTGCACCTTCCTGGGTGCAGTTCCTGCCCAGATGTCCCCTGTGGAGAGGAGAGCATCAGCCACACTCAGGAGCGAGCAGGGGTCTGGCCAGTTAGCAGAAGGGTGCTGGGCTCTGGGGGTGCCCTCGTGCGCCTGATGGCGCCCCCCCACCCCAGGGGGGTCATGTTGGGAGGGCACGCCGGCTCGGGCAGAACTGGCTGTCACGGCTCACGCTCTGCATACATCTTTGGTTTTGCTCCTACTTCAAAATGAGCAAGCTGGAATCAATATGACAACCCAGAAATGTGTTATTCATGATGTGTAGTCCTCACTCAGATGACAGGGGTGAGGAGAGGCCCGCTCCAAGGGCACTGAGGTATGACAGGGCTCTGATTCGCCCAGAATGTTTAATTTTTGAGTTTTTTCTTAGTTTCTTTTAGCTGTTGTAAGTCAGACACGCAGAATCTGACCACAGGGCACAGCTTTGTCTTTACGTTCAGTCACTTGAGGAGAAGTCTCCAGCTGACGAGAACACAGGACAACAGCGCCCAGCCAGCTGACCAAGAGGCCCAGCCTGCAGAGCTGGGAAGACTCTGAAAAACCACTGGACCCAGGGCATGAACCCTTAATGGGGCAGTGGCCTGGCCTTGGTGGGGTGGGGCGGGGAACAGCAGCTGCAACCTCTGCCCCTCCCCAGCTCTGAAGCCCAGGGCAGCCCCACAGGGTCTGGCAATGTAGGCTCCTGGAGGCCGCTGCTGACCACTGGGCTGGGTGTGTGTCCCTTCTGCCTTGACAAGCGATTGGGGAAGAGTGGAAGGGGAGTCTGAAGTGTGACCCCTCGGGGGCAGTGGTCGGGACCCCTGGCATGTTGGGGATAGCCCAGTAGCCCAACCTGAACCACCCGGATCAGGGGAGGAAGAGCCCTTTCCTCACCAGGTGGGGTGCCCAGGGGCCCCTGGGCAGTGGGCAGCATTCTCAAAGGCCTGAGCCTGGGCAGGGTCTCCCGGCCTCCCTTCCTTCAGCTTCTCCCTCATGGGGTTGCTCAGGGTTGGATCAAAGACCCTTCCTCGACTGGGGTCTCCTTGCTGAACTCACGGCCCCACCCTGACTGTTGTTGAAGATCCCCTGCCAGAGAAACTCTGCCTTAATCTCCTTGGGGTCTTGCTCAGCCCCCCAGTTGGCAGGAAACCCATCCTTGAGGAGACCCAAGTCACCTGCAGAACACCAATGTCACTTTTGAGTTCCGTGTCTCCCTGGCTCTTCTGGGGAGGGCTCTGGACCTCGCCCCACCTTGCTCCCCTGTTAGGGGCTGTTGTCCGACTGCCCCAGGGGCTCTGAAAGTTACAGATTCAGGACTCAAGAGGGGACCCTGGGCCCCAAGAGGTTCTAGACCTGCCCAGATGAGAGTCTGCCTTATGCATGGGGCTGGGCACAGTGCCAGCCCTTCCTGCCTATAAGTCATCTGCCCACACCACCTTTTAAAATTGTTCTTTTAAAATAAACAGCGCAAAATCCCATACATATTCACAGAAGAAAAGAGACCACATCAAATGCTGACAGCTCTCTCTGGAGGATGTGTGGCTGGCCAGGATCACTTTCCTCTTTCCTTGTTTATCTGTCTTCTACATTCTTGACAATGCATATGTATTATTTGAAACAAGCAAATAATACTGGAAGTTACTTTTAAAAGAATAATCTCAAAGTTCATGATTAAATCTGGCTCAGAAGGCAGCAAGGGGAACTAGATGGCCAGGTGGGCGGGGGTGGAGGGGACTCCAGGGCAAGGCTGACTTTGGACACCGCACTTTCCTGGCGCATCAGACTCCCTGAACTCACCACCTCACTCAGCCTGTCCCCACGGGGCATCTGCTGTGTGCTCTGATCTATCCCAGGTGTCTGGAACAGTGCAGGCTCCTTTGAGGGCTTCATAACTGGATTGTGACAAAGGCTGTCGCAGCTCCTGGAGGGGAAAGAAATGCTGACTCTCCACACATGCTGCTGACTGTTACATCAAGACCCTGGACGAGGCGTAGGTGCTGGGTTCCAAGTTCCACAAACAGGACCTAGGGTTTCACCCAGATTTCCTAGTTTCTGGAACAGGAGGTGAAGGGGGAGCAGGCTCCCTTCCAGGAAGCTGTCCTCTGGCCCATCCCTGGTCATTTCCAGGAACCGGGAAAGGAAAGGCGGCACCGAGTCCTTACCCAGAGGCTGTAAACTTCCTGGCCCCTCTGCTCACTGACCAGAGAAGCTGGTGCAGTCAGAACTAATCTGTCCCAGAGGGGACCACAGACAAGGCCGCCAGCAAGGGTTCTCTGCACAGGAAGCTCTGCACAGGCTTGAATAAAAGCTTTCATGAATTTATTTAATTAAAAACCACATGCAAAATAGCTAGAACCAAACTGCATTTAAAAAAAAAAAAAACCTGCTTGAAACCAGGTTCCTCCCGCTATAGCCCAGCATGTGGCCCCAGGGAACAGGCACGCAGAGACGAGACAAGCACAGTCCCAACTTCTCTTTGCATAGCCAGGCAGGGCTGGCGCACCGTGCTGTGCTTCCTTCCCCACTTCACAACCAGCCACTCATGTTGGCACTTCAGGGTCAGTGTGAGGCTCTAACTACGTAAGTCACGTGGTAGGAAGCCCCCTCCTTTGTAAGAGTACAGGTGACACCCACCCCCGGCCCCAGCACGTCCAGTTCCCAGTCCCAGGCTGCTCCAGACACCTCCAGCCGAAGCTCGCCAGCCCATCCGCCCGCTTCCCCGGCTGCCGAGGAGGACAATGACCAGCCCTTCCCAGTCCCTGGAGTCTTGGAGCGGCCAGGGCAATGGTGACTGCCTGGGCCTCAGCCCCTCAGTTCTCCAGCTCGGGGCCAAGGGGCTGGAAGCAGGACAGCTCCCCCAGAGCCAGGACTCCCACGACAGCCAGGCTGTCTCCAGGCCCCCTGAGAACACGCTCCGGTCTTCAGGGGAGGGTGTCTGAAGTGAGGAGCCATGAAGCAGAGACTGGGGCCTCCTCCTGTCCTGCCCTATGCCCAGGGTTAACAAGGACATGGAGAAGAAGCCTTTGCTATGTAGAACTGAATGCAGGGAACATCTGCTCACCATCTTGTGTTCTCTCCTGGATGCCTAGTGGGTAGCGGAGCAGGTCCTGCAGCTTGGCTGACTCCTGGACCTTCATATTTGATATCCAGTAGCACTCTCCAGCACTCTCCTAGACGGCTCAGGGCCTGAGTTGGAGTCATCTTCCACAGGTAGACAGTGGTATCATGGAAGCCCATCACACGGAAGACCTGCAGGCCCAGCAACCAGGTCTCGGCCTCTGCAGGGGCCACTGGCCACATGGTGCCCGGCTCCAGCAGCATGGGCTCCACCGGGGACAGAGTCACTCTGGGGAACACCGGCTTCGGAGGAGGGGGCTTGGGCGGGTGAGCACAGCGAGGGAGTTTAGGAGTCTTCCGGGGAAGGGCCTGGGTCCAATCTTCATGTTTGGGGCCCAGACCTAGGGGTATCAGCTCCTCAGGCATGGTGGGCACCTCCGCTGGCCCCTGGGCCCTGGGCAGAGAGGTCCCTTATGCAGGCTGCCCCGGTCCAGGCTCTGGCCCCAGAGCCCCTTCTTGTTCAAACTCTGACTCATCCAGCTCCAAGTCCTCCCTGTCTTCACCCTCCCACTCCTCCAGTGAGGTTTAAAGTTCTTGAAGGCTGCTTTGTAGCAGGCAAAGCAGACCTGAGGCCTGCGGTGGCCTCCGTGCTGCAGCTCATATAGCCTGGAAGCACAGGGGTAGGACACACCCAAGCTGCTAGGCACACCACCACAGGGCGCACCTGGCCACACTGCTGCCCTGCAGGTGAACCTCAAGGGGGCGCTTGCTGGGGACGTGGGGGGGCAGGACAGGTGGGGTGAGGGTGAAGGATGGGCAGGAGCAGGAAGGTGTTTCTTGTTCAGGGACCTGGAGGTGGAAGAACTGGGTCCCACTTGAGTGGGGACCTGCCAAGGTTGGGAAGTCTGAGCTTTTGGAAACTTCTCCAGCTGAGCACTGCTCCAGTCTCTGGGAAGGCAAAGGAAGCACGGTTCGGCGCCCCCTGGTGGGCAGGCTGCTGGGACTCCAAGTGAAAGGGTGTAGGGATTCCCGCTCTTTGGTTTGCCCCCACCTCGCTTAAACCACGTGTGTCAGGAGTCTCTTGGCCCACCCCCAACCTCGCCCATCATCCTGACCCTCTCAGAGCCTAACATTCATTAGTCCAGGCTGTGGAGCTCCGGATCTGGAAATGGGAGCCAGAACCCTCCCTGGCCCACGTAGCCCATGAAGACAGAGGGATTGATCCCCCTCAGACTCCATACCAGCCTCAGGCCCCTGGAATCCTCCCAGAGAGCCTCACCTCCCAGGAGCCATCAAAGGGGACTGGCCCAATTAGGCTTTTAAAGGACTCCCATGGTGCCTTATGAACATTTGCATATCTCCCATGAGCCCTGGCTCCGGAAAGAGAAAGTGCTGAGTCACCCTGGAATGGCCACCACGTGTAAAAGGGCAGGAACTGTGGCTGGGCTGCTTCTCTGGCTCCCTCTGCTGCCTACCTGTTGGGCTCCTGATCTGGCAGTGGAATGTCAGGCCTGAGGCCACTCTGCCTCACCAGACACAACAACCCTATCCTCATGATCCTCCTTGTTCTTGTCTCTCTAGTAAAGTTTTTAAAATGAATTTTGCAAACTGATCCCTTGTCAATTAATTGCATTTTAAACCCAGTTTGTTCTATATGGTTCTTGTCTTCATCATTCACTCTTTTAGTCATTGTCAAATGTATACGTCTCTCTGTTTTTTTTTTTGAGACAGGGTCTCACTATGTGGTTGAGACTGACCTGAACTCACTATGTAGCCCAGGCTGGTCTCAAACTCACAATGATCCTTCTGCCTCCGCCTCCTGAATGCTGGGATTATAGGCATGCGCTACCATGCCCAGCTATATGTTTCATTTTTGAGAAAAAGATTTTTGGTCTTGTAACTATGATCTTTAGTAGCCCTGTGCAGCAACTTTAATGTATTTTCTCCCAGGTCTTTCTCATTTTTGTCCTCTTTGCATAGTAATTATTTTAAATGGTAGTTGTTTTTATTAATGACACAAAATTATAGAGGACTTTTGTAATGACATCATTTTAACAGGGCAATTCACTCCTTCTTTGCAAACTTGCCTGGTGCACCTGACTACTTCTAGGCCATCTTTCTCAGGAAATTTGCATGCGGGCTGATGGTCAGTGGCTGGCCAGGCCTGGACTGGGACTTCAGGAGTTTCCACTGGCCTCTAGGATTCCTAACAGCAAGGCTCCTTGGATAACTGCTTCCCAGCTCTGTGCAGCACCTTAAATATTTCTTGGGAGCTTAGAAAAGTTGCAATGCTCTCACCCCAGCCTGTGGTGACCCCAGGGAGTCACACCCTCCCTTTGGTTGGGGTGGACGCGGTGGTTTGCGTGTAATCAGTGGAAGTAGCTGATGTGATAGGTCTTGCTCTTGATTATATTACTTTATGGATACACGCATTGGCTGCATATGTTATAGAACTTTATCTTACATTTTATGAACACATGGACCCTATAATATGTTTATTTTTATAGATCTTACACACACACACCTGGAGCTGACTGCCCCTCTCCTGAAGCTGAGGACAGCCAGGCTGTGAGCTACATCTTGAGGAACTGGAGCTGGGGAGGCTGAAGTGTGCATGTGTCTCCAGCCAACAGCCAGCAGAGACCAAAGTCTAGGTCCCACAGCCACCAAGAGGAGCATTCTGCCCCGTGAGGGCATGGCCAGGCAGACAGCTCTGCACCACCTGAGACCTGAGCAGGGGGCCCTGCCAGCCAGCCCCACCCCCTAGGCCCTCTATGGTTTAGATCTGAAATGGCCTCTGCAGGAGGCTGGGCCATGGGGTGCTATCAGGAATGTAGTGAAATGTGCTGGGTTCTGGTGAGAAGAGGCAGGCCACAGCGGATGAGACCAGAAGGGCCGGCTCCCTCTTCGGCTCCTCCCTCCGTGCTCTACTTCCTGGCCACCATCGTGTGAGCGGCTTTCCTCTGCCGCAGGCCCTCCCACCTCACCATTTCTGAGTGGAGCCTGCTGACTCGGAACTGAAACCTGGGAAACCTGTGAGCCCAGATAAACCTCTTCTCTCTTAAATTGTGAGTCTCAGGTATTCTGTCTCAGCAGCAGGAAAGTGACTGACGCCCCCTAGCCTGAGGTGATGCATGGCTGTTGTTTCAGGCCACTAAGTCTAGAAATCTGTTATGCAGTGATTAAAACTAACCAGAGCCGCTCTCAGTCATATTGAGGTAGGACAGAAGAAATAAAACTAGGTAGAAAGGAGGCCAGGAAAGCAGTAGTTGAAAAAAAATTTTTTTAATTAAATTTTTTTTTTTTTTTTTTTTGTATCAGGAATCGAACTCCAGTTCCTGTGCTTGCAAAGCAGGTGCCAGAACTACTGAGCTAAATCCCCAGCCCTGAAAATTGTATTTTAAAGAAAAACTGGCCGGGGATTTAGCTCAGCGATTTGGCGGCCTGCCTTGCAAGCGCAAGGACCCGAGTTCAATCCCCAGTAACAAAAAGAAGGAAAGAAAAACTGCAGCGTCAGAGCCCAAGCCCAGCTTATTTACTCAACACAGCACACCTGGGCAAGTCCCTTTCAGCTGCCAATGGTCTGCCCCTTCCCTTCCACCTGAAAATCACCTCTTTCTTCAGCTTCCCCCCGCCTGGAAAGCAGCTGCAGTGGAGATAGCCTGTCAACGCTCTCTCCACTTACACCCGTGTGGTGGCTGCACTGTGACCTGGCGCGGTGAGAACACGTCCGGGTCACCCACACGGGTGACGGCTGTAAGTGTGAGCCCCATCCCAACTGTATCGCCCCTCATTTCTCTGAGCACTTGCGTTCCATCCTTGAGTGTGTCCCGTATCTCCCTCTAATAAATCTTTCTACTGATGTGCTTTGGAAATTCTTTTTCCTCAAAAGGAGTCAGTAAACCTGGGCACTTATTTTAAAGGGGTGGGTTAATATCAGTCTCAGGGGGAGGCAGTCATCGGGCCTGAACCGTCTCTAGGCTGCTGTGCTGTGCTGTGCCGTTTGGGGCCAGTGCCGAGCCTGGATTGAGGTCAGGGTCCTGAACACAGCCGCCCTGCACTCTGCCTCAGTAAACCCCATCTCTGATGAATCAGTGCCCAGCCAGGGTCTCTCAAACACAGGCCAAACACAATCACCCTCATGCCAGGCATCTCTGCCGTGACCAGCCACAGCCAGGAATGTGCATTTAAATGTGTATCCCAGTTTCCAGAAAAACTACTGTGGAATTAGGAACCTGCCTGAAATAGTTGGTAAATCCAAATGTGACACTAAGCAAAGCAGTCCTCTCACTCTGCAACCCCCAAGTCCTGACCTTGGCATCTCTCTAGCACCAGAGTCCTCTTAGAGGGTCACAGTGACATAGGGGAAATAATGTCTCCCCAACCTGCTAGATGTCAGATACGCCGAGTTTGTGTTCCCCCAAATTGAATGGATTCTAAGAAGCAAAGAGGTTAAGAGTCAGAAAAATTTATTGAGAGAGGTAGCTCCTGAGAGACAGGAGGGGACCCGAAAGTGGGTTGCTGTGGACCTCACTCTACAGACAAGGTTTAATAGGGCAAAATTACGAGGTGAGTACAACATGGGTCAAAACTATGATCAACCAGTAAGGTTACAAGTACAGCTGCTTAGGTAACATCGATCCAGTGAGGAAGCAGGTCACGTAGCAAGTGTGTGTGGAAAAAGCTAGGACCTTTTAGGAAGGGATGGATCGGGAGGTCCACCCACCTGGGTGACTGATGCCCATCTAGACTTTATTGGACCAGATGACACCAATGATAGTATAATCTCCAATTTATTGCTTGCCCCTCGGGGAGGCATGTTGGCCTGGCCATTCTGTGTTTATCTTGAGGCCTGGCCTCCAGCCACAGTTGTGAAGTGTTCTCATCTTCTGCACTGACCCCCTGGAGGGCCCAGCCCTGTCTGACTGCCTGTCATATTTCTACCTAACTTGGCTGTCTGTAACACCATACAACTTCCACCCTCTTCCCTTGTGGGGTGGAGAGCGGAGGCCCCGCTTGACCCTGGGTTTGGGGCCCTTGCCTGGCACAGGGCTGTTGCTCTCCCCATGTGGGGTGGAGGTTAGAGTCGGTTCCCAGGCGCTCCGGGCTCCCATGGCCGTCCCTAGATGACGAAAGCGCTGCAGGTGCGTGGCCCTCAGGAGCATGTCTGTTTCAGCTTTGAACAGTGCCCAGTGCTGCCACACCAAGCTGCCCTTT